ACCTGCACAGCATGGTGACGCACTCGCTGTTGTCGCGGCACGAGGCGCCGGCGGGCCGGAGCGCCACCCCTCTCCAGAAGGGCGTCATGCGGCGCTGGCGCGAGGGCTGCGGCGGGCGCTGCGGCTGGCCTGGGTGCGGGGCTGGGGCCATGCCGGGCGGCTGCAACGGCACCGAGGCCGCGTCAGCCGCGCGCCGCCCGGCCCAGCCCCTCGTCGTGCTGGGCTCCGGGCAGAGTCTTAAATCCCTGCCCGGGCTCGCGTGTCACGCCATTCCCCGTTAAAGTACAGTTGTTTGTGCTCTAGCCCCAAAGAAATGCAGTGTAARCAAAAAAATTAATTTTTTAAGCCTTCTTTCAAGACAAGGCACCATCACGTGCTGAATTTTGCCTCTCCGTAGCCCAGGGTTCCCAGGCAGCTACTCTGCTCCTTGAGGCCCCGTGYGGCCACCCCCAGCTGCTTGTGGAAACGCCAGCCCCTGTTGCAGTTAGCCGCTGGAAGGGTTTCCCTGCGCTTACCTGGCTGAGCAGCAGCAGGCAGAGCAAGGAGAGCGCCAGGGCCGTGCGGCCCCGCATGCTGCGCAGCAGCGCTGCAGCGCCGAGCATGGCACCCGCCGCGGCAGGCGAGAGCTCCAGGGAAGCTGCTCGGCCGCAGCTCCACTTTTATAGACTCCATCCCTTATCGTTGCATCAACTGTCAGTCATCGCGCGGACAAAGGTCACTCCGGAGCAAGGGAGAATTACCAAGTTAGCATCTACCAAAGTCACCTGGTTCAAGGCCTATCTAACGAGCTAATGATTGACTTTCCTTCCACTTGTACTTTGTCTGCTCAGTTAACCAGATGTGCCAACTGTTCCGTTTTTAAAACCCAACATGTTACCAGGACGCYGTCGTCTATCTGCATGCGAAAGGGCAGGCGGCCCAAAGTCTTATGGCTTTTGATCTTTACCATAACCTCATTTAACTCCGTGACACTCGCAGTATGTGCAGCCTCGGGTTTGACAGCTGGGGAAGGGACTGCCCTCCCCAGTGCATTTTGTGCAGAGAGCAGCATTTTGCTCTGCTCCTCAGTCCTGATGCTTTAAAGAACCACGAGCAAGTTAAACAACTGGTTCATGCCTTTCCTTCTAGGCATGCGACTCGCCGGGAGAAGGTGTCTGTAGAAAGTACCGTAATAAAGACACTGCCTGTTGTTCCTGTCAGGGTGCAGAGCACGCCTGAAGCTCCTCCAGGCAGAAAGCTACGGTATAAACTACACCTTAGCTAAACTGCACGTACAAATACAGATATTAGAAGCTACCATTTTCTGTGATTGCTTAACATGGACGAGTAAGTGCCAGCGTGGAAGACAAGTTACTTAGGTTAAGATAATGCCATGTTGTCAGATTTCCTGCCTACTTGATGATTACCCCTTAGCCCAAATTTCACTGGATTAAATAGAAATTCTTTGCTGCCTATTCTCCACACCGCTGTGGGAAGATGTGTTCCTTTCCTTGGGTTTGCCCTGTATTCTTTCCTCTTACCAATTTGCTTTATTGCCCATGAAAAAGAGTCAAAAACCTTCTGTATTTCCCATTCCTGGGTCTAATGCAGGGAAGAAAATGAGAAAGCAAATCATGGCAATCAAGTAGCTGAGAAACTTGACAATTTCTTTTGTGGTTGGCTGTGAATTTTTCAGTTGTTTATCCCCTCTCATTCTGAACATGCACCTGAGTTACAATTCCTGCAGTTTCCACTAAGAAAATACAGTAGAACAGAGATAGGGAAACAAGGGGGAACAGTACCCTTGACTTTGCTAGGGCAAGATTTCCAACGGCATCTCTAGTCCCAGCTCTGACAGCGGTCGTTGTTTCTCATGGCTGGGGTTCCTTCTTTGGGCTAGGTAGCACTCGTGCTTTGTGGGGGTGTTGCGAAAGCAGAGCTGTTTCATTTCAGGGAAAATCTCTGGGTTAGTAAGAGCATCCGTTTACAGTTACACATCCCTTCGAGGAAACTAGTTTCTAGGCTGGAAAGCAGCAGCCTGCTTACTCTGTCCGGGAAATTAAGAGCTCCAATTGTGCTTTGTTTCCGTGTGTGCAAATCCAGCACAGYCCCGTTACCTCATTATTTGCAAGTGGTGTCGAAAGCAGCAGCTTCTAAAACCATTGCCACAGGAAGCTGCTTTTCTGTCGCCACCTCCCTTGCCAAGGGGAGATGAAAATGAGCTGGCCGAGAGGTTTTTGAGCGCGTGGCTCCAAGACCCGGTCGGTCCCAGAGCGGTTCCCTTCCCGTGGCGCTGGGTGACGTCCCGGAGGCGGCGGCAGCGCGCGGCGAGCGCGTTGCGACACGGCGCGGTGGCCGCGGGGCCGCGCGGCTCCGTCTGACCCGTGCGTGGGTGCGAGGCCTGCCCGGCGCCGCCGCACGCAGGGCGCTGGGCCGGCGCTGCCGCGGAGCCTCCGCGCGGGGCTCAGGGCTCCGCGCTGCTCCTTGTGCCCCGGAGAGTCGCGTTCGGCCGGGGCTTTGACCCGAGCAGCTCTCTGGAGCCCTTTGCAACCCCCACCTGCAACAGCCGCTTCAAGGCTCCCTCCTTGCTTCAGCTGCYGAGAAAATACCAGTAAATTCCAGCTAAATCCGAGTGCCGACTGTTCTCTGGCACCCCCTGCAGCGCTGCACGACTGTTGCATTACCCTGGTTCCGGTAACGTCCCACCGCAATGACACACAAAGGCAGCCGGACACCCCCAGGCCCGCACTTAAATCACACTCGCCATATAGCTTCTATACATCCAGGGGCGGGATTCCCACATCCRCTCCCTCCTTCCTGCAGCCAGAAGGCAGGATTCCCACAGGGAAGCAGCTGGAGGCAGCGCGGGGCGTCGCTTGCGGTGGGAGCCTGGAACAGTCTGCCCCGGACACGGGGAAAGGAGACAAGGGAGCGAGGCCCTGGTGCGGGACCTCTGAACGGCAGGACAGCAAAGCTGCTTTATGGACTTAGAGACACTGCTCAAGTTTCCCAGGCACATATTAAAAAAATAATAATAAAAAAAATGGACCAACCAAAAAATCCCACCCAAACAAAGCAAAAACCACTTAATACTAGTATGGTTACTGGAAAACAGATTGGGCAAAAGGGAAGCGTACTGAAAACAATACTTTTATAAGGTTATTTTCATTTTCAGATGGCAGAACAGCCCTTTCTCCTGACAGTTTCCAAGGAGACGCTCCCAATCCAGCCTGTTAACCCCCGGGACGTGGGGACTGCGGCAGCATCTGATCCACATGAACGGCTGGGGCAGGCAGTGCTGTGGGGAGGGCCAAAGGGCGCTGCGGCCCCGGCCCCGGCCGCGCCAGCCAGGGCTATTCTTGTCCGTGTCTGACAGACTGTTTGTTTTTGCCAGGGATCAAGGCTAGAACGTGTCCTATTTCAAACAAAGAGAAAAAGAGGTGGCGGTGACGGCCTCGCTGCACTTGCCGGCGCTGTCACCAGGCGCTGCGGGCAGCCCCACGCTAACTGCACCGAGCAACACCCCGAAGCAGCAGGAGCCACGGGGCTGCACAAGCTCCAAGGGCTGGGGACGGGGAATTGGGGAATCCAGCCCGACGTGCCGGGCTGTTGGCCGCGGCTCCCCCCGAGCACCGCAGGACACCAACGCACAGGCACAGCAGACACAGCCAGGTTTATTGGGCAGCTCCGCGCGCCGCGCCGCCGCCTCACTGCTCGCTCTCGTAGTCGGCCGGGTTCTTCCTCTTGAGCCGCTCGAACTCCTGCGTGCCCCACGAGTAGATGAGATAGGCGCCCACGAAGGCTGGCGGCACAGGGGGGCCCGTCAGGCGGGACCGGACCGGCACCGGGACCCGGCACCGGGACCGGACCGGCACCGGGACCCGGCACCGGGACCGGAACCGGGACCCGGGACCCGGCCCCGGCGGGGTCGCCCCGCGGCCCGCCCCGCTACTCACGCGGCAGCACCCTGAGGACCTGGGAGCTGAAGCGGCGCCAGGCGTTGGGCAGCCCGCGCGCGAGGAGGTGCGGCAGCGCGCGCTGCTCGAAGGGCGACAGGCTGTACGTGACCACGTGCCGCACGCGCGCCAGGTTCCCGAAGTGGATGCCCATGGTGCCGCCGCCGGTCACCTTGCCGCCCGCCGCTGCTGCCGCCGCCGCTTCCGCTTCCGCCGCTGCCGCTTCCGCTTCCGCGCGGGGCGGCGGGCGCCACCTGCAGGCGCTGCCGGGGCCTTCCCCCCCAGCGGGCGGGAGCGTCACGTGGTGAGCGCGGGGCGCGTCACGTGGGGAGCGAGGCGCGTCACGTGGGGAGCGGGGCGCGTCACGTGGGGAGCGCGAGGCGCGGTACCCCCCGCCTGTCACAGCGGGGCTGTGCCCCGTCCGACTGTGTCCCCGTCCGGCTGTATCCTAGTCGGACTGTATCCCCGTCGGACTGTATCCCCGCCTGACTGTGCCACCCCCGGGGACTGTGTCCCCATCCGACTGTGACTCCGTCGGACTGTGCCACCCCATCACGCTGTCCCCCTGTCAGCCTGTCCCTCTGCTCAGCCTGTTCTTCCCATCAGCCYGTTCCCAACAGCCTGTCCCTCTGTTGCCCTGCATCCCCTCAGCCTGTGTCCTGTCAGCCTGTCAGTCCGTTCCCTTGTCACCCTGTCCCTCTGTCAGCCTGTCCCCCAGCCTGTCCCCTGTCTGCCTGGCTCTCTGTCAGCTTGTGCCCGTCAGCCTGTGCCCGGAACCCTGGCCCTCTGTCAGCCTGTGTCCTGTCAGCCGGTCCCTCTGTCAGCCTGTGTCCCTGTCAGCCGGTCACCCATCAGCCCGTCCCCGCACCAGCACAACCGTCAGCCCTCAACCACCCACCTGTGTCAAGAACAAGGCAGGGAACAAGAAGGACTCCCAGGTTGTCCTGCCACACAGGCGGCCAGCCCGTCACCCTGCCGTCACCCGCACCTGGGGTAACGTGCACTGCAGCCGGCCGGGGGCACCGGGGACAAACGTGGCCTGAACCTTTAATCCGTCACAGAGGCTGCATTTGTCTGAAACGGTCCTTGCATTGTCAGTGACCCAAATGCAGTTTCTTTAGCTTAAGTTAAGCATTTTCTCGTAAATAGGCTTTTGCACATAAGCATCTTTTGCACCAAGGACAGAATAACTTTGTTTTGTTCTCTCGACCGATAGATAAAGCTAAATTCCCACTGTGTTCRGAAGCGATTAACGGCAGCAGCGCTGTATTGGGCAGGAAGGTTCCCTTAAACCAATGAAATGTATTGCTAAAGATTTTCTTTTAAAATCCCAGTCCTCGGTTGAGGTCTTTGAGCTCCGAGCAGGTTTCTCAAGTGTGAATTCAATCAGAGCAAGCAGTGTTTCCAGTTGGACACTTCCAAGCTACTCGCACTTGGAAACTGCATTTAAGCGGGTGTTGTACAACTGTTACCGGCTAAAACTACATCTTTGCAGAGCCCTGCGGTTCCCCGGAGCGTCACGTCCCACAGGCTGGCTCGCACGCCCCGGGTGACGGGACGAGYCTCGCGTTCCCTCTGCCACATCCGTGCACAGAACCCCGGGGCTTTAGCCCTTTCCGTGCCGGGACGGAGCTGCCAGCCCCAGCTCAAGAGGTGGCGGTTGTCACTGGTTCCTGCTGGGATTTATTGGCAAGGCCTCGTTTTAGAGGCTTGCATCTTCAAACTCTGTCTCAGCCTCCTTCTATTAAAAACATATACATAYATATACACTTAATTCCGACCAAAGCCTTTCCCACGAGTGCCGAGGGGGCCCTGGCCTGAAGCAAGTGCTTTCAGCAAAACSCCTGCGGCTGGAAACGCAGGAGAAGGATCAGCCAGACCTGGGAGCTAGCATGGAAACCTAGAATTAAGACAGTTACCTAGACTTCTATTGGGTGAGGAAATGAGACTCTGCTCCCACYTGCCTTCAGATTTAACTTTGGACTACCGAGAGATTAAATAGCATTTAAGTAAACTGTTTTACCTGGCTTCTGAAGCCTTTTTTAACTCTCCAGCAGTGCTGAACACTTCTTCGTGATTCAGAAGCACGGAGCAATAACTTCACACAGGGAGCTCTGCACCCTCACGCACAAACAGGCTGGATTTCACTCACAGRAGACCAAGCCGTCTTGTTTTCAACAGCCCAACAGTGGGATGCTGCTGCTGGTTGTTATCCCAACAGAAGATGGGATTCAAGTTGCCACACAGCTGTCTTGAAATCCCAGGTAAATAGATTATTTGGAAGATATTGTATTACCAATTATTGATAAAGTTTTAGTAGTGGGACAGAAGAGTTCTTGCCCCTCACCTCTCTTTTTTTGGAAAACAACTGTAAGAAAGAGTCATCCAATTCTTTGAAATAATTGGAATATATTGGAGAAAAAGGATGAACCACTGAGGAAGTGACCTTTAACGTTAAAGAGCATCTGCTCTGCCTATATACTTCCCCAAAAGGTCTTATATTGATTTCTTTATATAGSAGACTGAACACAGGTATCAAACATGAGTGGTATGCATGGCAGGCATTTATTCTTTTTTTTTTTTTTTGAAATGTATAACAAAACTGCTTAAAATGGATATCTGGTAGTTGAAACCATTTCCACATTTTAAATGCAAAACTGTTCCAGTAAAAACCATTATTTACATTTAACTTCACATTCTAGAAAGTCTGAGTGGCTACAAAAATAAGTGCTATTACGTGAATACCCTCTACTAGCCCCATGCTAAATCCCAGCTGATTACAAAGAGCTATCAGAACTACACAAACAGACATCTGTTCATCTGACAGAATTACAGATTTCCTTGGAAAAATAACAAAAAAAACAAAATAAAAAAACCCACATACACACGAAATCCCAACCCACGGGAAACCCAGTAGGATTCCCACTACCGACACGTGCACTTGGTTGCGATCATGTCCTCGTACTCCTTGTAGGCGATGGAGCCGTCRGGCTCGACGGTGAGGACGCTCAGCGGGCTGTACTCGGCCGGCACGCACGAGGGCCGYGGCACCGACGGGTCCAGCTTCTCGTAGATGATGTTCTGCACCATGGTGTGCACGGGCGAGCCGTAGCGGTGCCCCGCGGCGCGCGGGCACTCGCCCTTGCAGTACTGGGGGCTGTACCTGCGCGGCGCGATTATCCACTTGTCCCACTGGAGCTGGCTGAAGCTCAGGCGGAAGCTGTGCAGCTCGCACTCGTCCTGGGGGAACAGGAACTGCTTGAAGTAGTCGCTCGCGTTACGGGGTGCTGCGGCCGGCGCCTCGTTGGCGCTCTCCTCCCGCCGCTGTCGGGAAGCCCTTTTCCTCTGCGCCGTTTCTTTCCCTCGGTCAGCCGCAGGGCGCGCGCCTTGCTGGGGCCACCCCGGGGTTTTCCTCCTGTGCCTGAGTGAGTTCCACCTGTGATGCGCTTGCTCGCTGGTGTCGTTGAGGTAGAGGAGAAGAGAAGGGGGAAGCAGGGCCACGTTCAGGGAGCTGCCCTGGGCAGTGCTACGCTGTGGGTCGCCCAGCAGGCAAGTGAAGTTCACAGCCATGTGGATATTCCTCCTGTTAGTGGCAATGAGGGGCTGGAGAAAAGAAGTCACGTCAATCTCCACCCACCTGCGCTTTCTAAATTCRAAGTGCAAACTAAAAGCTACGGAGTGCGAAGTGCTCGGGCACACCGGGCGGGAAAGGTCGTGCTCCTTGAGGGATAAATGGCACACGCATGTGGCGGCGGAAGAAAGGGGAAGCGACGTGTCGAAGGAACAGAGCAGGACAGACTTCAGTAAGTGCTCTAGAGCCGTCACGCGGTCCAGGTTGAAGAGCAAATCCACCGGGTGAAGGTCTCCTGAAAAGGCAGGAACAAAACCCTGAAGAATTGRTATATCTTAATTTGCCACCACGACATAAATGCTCTGCTCTAGTRAATATTTAGAAAGGAGTCAGAAAAAATAAGTGCATTTGCACATCCTTATTTTTATCATGTTGAGTGCCTGCTTTGGTCAGGAATGTAAGCTTTATAAAATAAGAGAATCCCCTGTAATGGGATTCTTAACATCTTGTCACAAATCTAATACCAGGGCCAAGCTTTCACAGCCTGCAAGACTGAGCAGTGGACAGCAACGAGATTGCTGGGCATTTATTCCCCTTTTTGCTTTACTTAAAGCAGACTGCTGAATTCTTTGTCTCCTAGCCCTAAAGGAAGGAGATGTTTGCCCGTTACCCTGCAAGGACAGGGTGCAGAGCGGGGCCCAGGCCAGCGCCTCCCCTCCTACCTCTGGCGAGCTCCCYGTGGCGCCGCCCGCATTCCGAGCACGGCGTGAAGAGCCGGACGGTGTTGTAGAGGTGGCTCCTGTTGGCCTTGGGGATGCCCTCCTTGGTAGCGGACATCTTGTAGAGCCTCTTCATGAACCTCAGGGCCCGGGAGTCCGGCTGCAGCCTGGGCCTGTGGCTCCCCCAGTCCTGGCGGCCCTGCTCGGACAGCACCTTGAGGAGGGGAGGCAGCGGGGCGTATCCGCGCCTCGGGCCCTTCGGAAGCCGCAGCRAGGGATGGAGCCTGCCGGGGCTGTCCTCGGGAGCGAGCAGGAACGCCGAGCTCCCGGCAGAGCCCACGCGGTCCCTGGAGTGGGGGGAACACTGGGCACTGGAAGAAAGCCAGTGAATCCAGCAGTAGAAACACACACAAAACCTCCAAGGACTCTCCATGCTCCTTAGGGCTGCCAGGAAAAAAATCCACCTCCCCTCAAATATTCAAGAAAAAAGGCTCCTGAGCCTGATCCCTTATATAGGCTGCAGCTGTGGCCTGGGAGGGAGGTTTCTTTGTGATTAGAGAYGGAAGAGAAGGATCTACAGCTGGCCTGGGACACCCCATGTGCTGGGGGAGGGAAAATCCCTGTTCCCAGGGCRCAGGGTTTCAATGTGGTAAACTGCAAAACAGGAGCATTCGTTCACCAGCCTCCAGAGGGAGCTGGGGAGGCAAAGGGATTACCTGGCTGTTTTGACTAAGTACATAGTCGTCTGCAGAAATGCTGGCGCTTGGTTAACATTAATTCTTAAGGAAATCTCAGCAATGACATTTAGCACACAGGAACACAAAGGAAGAATGAAACCATTCTTCATTTGCTGCTGAGGTGCTTTTCATGCTCCATTTCTCTCCAGGAGCAATATTCCTGAGACAGAAGTCACTGTCACGCTGGATTCCGTTCCCAACGCCCACACATCCACCTCCATCCAAGGAGAGGCACCCAAACACGCAGGGAGCTGCCCGGGCACCAGCAGCTCCCGGAAACCTGCTCTGAGACACCTCCCGGCAGGGACACCGAGGGCATCGCGGAGCTCAGACACTTGCTACTGAAGTAAAGCGATCTGTTTTTCATTTTATTTTATTAGGAAAATACACGAGAAAACCTGCCTTCTTGTCAGTTGTGTTTAATTAGAGCTCTGCTATCTGAAATGTCACTCATAATCTGCCTTTCGCATCTTAGGGCTTCAAAGGAAGGCGTGCTTGCTCTGGGAATGTGTAATTAACTTGCAGAAATGTCAGCCTGGCATTCTTGCATTTGGGAGAGAAGGTTAATTCGGCTAACGACCTGTATTGTGAAATGATACAGCCTTTTCTGTTAGATTTCTTAAAGATGATTTGATTGCCATCAGAGAGGAATACTGTCATTTCTAAGGTCAGCTCTGTTTAAACTTTTCTGGGCAAGGTGATATTTATTTCCATTAATTGTAAAATTATGTCCCTCAGTCAAGCATGCTTGCTCCAAAATAGACTTACTGTTTCTCCTCCACAGATATGAATTAGTCCCACTTTACATTAGTTTCAGACAAACGTAACTGCATTTAGGGCAGTTCCATGACAATTGAGCTGCCCTCTATTTCTACCGTCTTGCACAAACCAAAGGCGCCTTCCTGSTCCTGCCTTTGCACTGATTTATGATCTTATCAGATCTTACGGTGAGTCCACTTAGGGAGCTAAAATGATGGGAAAATAATCCAAGAGAAAAGTGAATATTTGCTTTACCTCATTGAAAGCACTGGACAATCAGAGAACAATTATGCCTATCTGGAATAACKCCTGGCTTAACAAGCCACAAGAGGTACTTCTGGATGCTAAAACCATCCTAAATCTTGAAGTATCATTCTGGATGGTGATGCCAAAATAATCTTACATGTTTTTATATGTACACAACATTGATTAGAGGATTCTTAAACKTTTTTTTGAAAATTATACCTAAGTAAACTGAGAAATGTATGTTTATTATTGATGCCAAGGTTGTTGCAGCAGAAATCATGTTTTCCTTTTTTTTCCTGGGAAACACGGAGTGGGCACCTGGTTCATGCTGCCGTGAGCAAAACTCTTTTTTGAACTCCTGTAAGACATTGCCCTGCAGGGAGGGGATGACGCTGGGTTGTTTCCACGGGGCGGCCAACGCTTCAATCAAAGCCTTAATCAAGTCATTCATCACACGTGTAGCTGTTATGGCCTGGCAAACAAGGAGCTGCCTTTGGCTCCCCAGTTGATCCCGCGGACTCTGAAGCACRGGAAGCATTGGGTGCTCCCGCAGCACCCACGTACAGGGCTGCAGAAGAGCCAGCAGCCCAAGCCGGGGAGCTGCTGAGTGGTTTATCTGCTGCACAGATGTGAACTGCGACGATTTCTGAAGAAGTACGGGTTTTTAAAAGGAGAAATGTTTCCTGTTACTCACAACAGCTCCTTGCTACAAACCAGAAAAGATCAAACAAATCATTTTGAAGAACTGACACATATAAACATATGTCACTGTTCAACAAGGCACCATCAGAGCAAATAAAGTGCTGCTGATTTTATTGCTCTAGTATAAAGACATTTTTTTTCTTTATCACCAGTGATAGTAGCCTGTGTTCAAATGAGCTGCTTTTTATTCGTTTGACAACAACATTAGCAACAGCTTAAGCAGATGATAATCGGATGGCTGGGCCCTGCCTGTCGCTCTGTCCCTAACYGCCTGCTCTTAACTTGAGTCCCCACCGTCTGCGTAATCTGGAGCCTCCATTGGGGCTGTTGTTCACGTGCACATTGTTTGAGACTTTTCCCAGCCTTTATTTTCATAATTGTCCCCCTGAAGATGCATTTTCTGAGCTGAAACATCAGCCTTCGGAGTCTGGAACAGAGCGAAACATAATAGTTACGCAGACAAAAGCTGTGGAACATACTGATAAGTTTACGAGTTTCCCTTTTCTTGCAGACTATCTGCCCTACTACATATGATGCTTTACATACATCATTTATTTTCTTTATACTTGAATTTACTGTAAATTTATTATGACTTCGTGTAGCGCCTAGAGATTTCCCTAATGGACCATGAGACCATTTTCCCAAACACAGGATAAACCGCCCAAAGAGCTTTTAAAACAAATGTAAGGCTAGAGAAAGGACGTAGCATATCAGCAATCATTAGCTATCTTGCTCCTGTGGGCATGGTGAAGGAGCAGAGTGTTCAGGATTTAAAGAAGAAGATTACAGCAAAGCATTGCTGTTGTTTGCACCAAGGACAGCACAGAGATCTTGTCTGAAATTTAAGCGCAGCGGCAGCTGACCCAATGAGTGGACTTGGCAGAGAAAGCACTTTAGAGAGTAGCTGGGACATTGTTTTTATCCACTGTGTTTTAGAATCTAAAATAATGCAGTGCTGGAGAGYTGGAATTTTCTCCTTTCCTCAGGCAAGGGAACAACCTGCATGTGAAGAGATGCCCAAGAGGGGCCGTTTCCYTGTTCTCAAGCCCACCAAGGCCCTCAAGGCACCAGGACCAGGTCAGATCACTCCTGTGGGCCGACTCCCTGAGGAAGGAGAGAAGGGGGGAGCTGAGCTTGGTGCTGCACCAAGCAGGTTATATCTGCTCTCTGCTATCTGCATGGTTTCTCACAGCTGTGTTAGCGAAAAGATGAGAGTTAAGCATGCAATATGCATGACCTGCACAGGTGGAAGATGCCATATGGACCCACTTTACACAGGCCTTTGAAAAGGCATCATACGTATAAGCTTTCAGTCACCACGACCGTAAGCTAAGAGGGAAAACTTTGTGCCTCCTACAGCTGTGATGGGCCGCACGGCACCTGAGTGAGATACTCTTATAATATACTAGAATTTTTATTAAAATAAAACTCCTGGAAGTTAATCAATAGAATTAGTGTTAGTTTGCACGCGTTAGCTCTGTTGTGGGGAGGTGCCACACACATATCCACAAAACATGGCTTTAAGCTCGGCTTTCCTCATACACCTAATCCAGCCCAGCCAGGGCCTGCTGCCAGCACCGAGCRCATCTCCCGCAGCCCTCACCTGCTTCCCGCCCCGCTGCAATGGTTCCCACCTGCCCTCGAGCAGGTGACTCGTCCCCAGCCGCACCTCCTATAAAGCCGTGGGGCTGCCGCCAGGGCCCTCTTTGCAAGGAGAGAAGCGGGGAGAGGCAGCAGCTCTGCTGCTCGCAGCGTGGGTGTCAGGTGGAGTTATGCAGTGCTGCACACAGAGCAGGCCGGTATCCTCAGGAAAACTTAGGGAAGTGCTGAATTGTTTTCCAGAGTATAGCTGAATGGGTAGCACTGGGGCTTCTTTCTCTTGCTGGCGTGCAGGTGAGTTGCGGGGTTAGCCTTCCATCCCCTATTTTGGAGGGAATGATAATGGCGAGTCCAGAGCAGGCGCTAAGAGGTGTGAGGCCGGTGCCCCCGGCCCTTCCTCCCCGCGCGGTGCCCGCGGGGAGCTGCGTGTCCCGCGCGCCCGCTCGGGGAGAGACCCCTGAGGAGCAGCCCCGGGGGAGCGGCCGCAGCTCGGGCTGGGCTCCCCCGGCCCGCGGGGCCTCCGCGCCGCGGGACCGTGCGGTGGGAGCCGCGACCCGCGCTTCCCCCGCGG